GCTGCCTACACATTTGTTTATGCCTGAAATTAATCAGGTAATGGTCCATATTTTCCTGTAGGAGCTTTAGAGCTTGGAATTGAGGTGTTGAAAACAGAGCCGCTTTTTAAAACCTACTTAACAGTTATACAGCTGTTCAGTTCAGTTCCTGTGCTAGCTAGTTTTACATGAACTTGACACAAGCTACAGTCATCTGTGAGGAGGAAACCTCGATGGAGAAAATGCCTCCATAAGATCAGACTGAAGGCAAGTCTACAGAGCATTTGCTTAATTAGTGGTTAATGGGGGAGGAACCAACCCATTGTAGGTGATTCCATCCCTGGGCTGGTAGTTCTGGGTTCTATAAGAAAGCAAGCTGAGCAAGCCAGTAGGCAGCACTCCTCCATGGTATCTGCATCAGCTCTTGTATCCAGGTTTCTGCCCTGTTTGAGTTCCTGCCCTGACTTCTTTAGTGATAAACAGTGATCTGGATGTGTAACTAATTAAGTCCTTTACTCCCCAGGTAGCTTTGGTCATGGTGTTTCATTACAGCAATTGTAACCCCTAAGATAGTTCCAAATGAATTACATTAACTAAAACCTAATTACTCAAGAGGTGTGTACCATATTCTCAGCATGGTGTTGAGCACATTGGATAGTTTCTTCTAGACATTATTTGGTCCTTCCAAGAGACTCAAAGATGTTATCTTTCCCTCATGAATGTAATCATTGGGTGGAGTCTCTTATTGGCATCATCCTAGTTCCCAGCAAACTCCAAGAACCTGCCATTTACATCTCTAGTGTGACAGTGAAACCACCAAGAGTTATTTAAGGGTAGTGTGAAGGAAGTAGCTATAATGTGTGGAATGAAACTTTCTAGGGATGGGGGGAGACCCAGAGTTCTGTAGATAAACGTAGCAATCATGGTTGGTATAGTCTTGTTAATTAATTAATTTTCTAATGTGTTATTAGCATGTATTACTATACACAATATGAACCATTACATATGCACATAATATATTTTTTAGCACATCCACCTTCTGTTGCCCTCTTCTATGCCCCTTGGAATATTCTCTTGACATAAAGTTTACAGTCAGAAACTTTTTGGAGAAGAGGGACAGTGGGCGATCTTAAGGTAGCAAGGAGAGCTCCACGTCTCTGACTCAAGGACAGCAGGAATGTGAATGAATGTGGTATGATTTACCAAAGAAAAACCTGGAAGCAGTTACTGAAGGACTATAGTATGGGTTCTGGATGCGTGATTGCCAGAGTAGTCCGTGCCTTAACGGGCACTAGGTTCCATGAGATAAGGCCTTTCTTCTGTAGAAGCCATGCATTATCTCAGCAACACTTCCTAGGCATCTGTTTATACCTGAAATTAAGCAGCAGGTAATGGCTCATTTATGTAAATGAACAAATGGCTCTCTAGCACTGAAGGTAGATTAAGGTCATTTCATGCTACATGGCGATGTGCAGAGTATCCTAGGGTAATCTGATGTCTAGATCTCCATCGGTGCAGATATTCAGCCTGAACTGTGTCACAGTGGATGAGGAGACTAGCTGGGGGGGCGGGTACAGTACTTGGGGAGGAGGAGCACAGTGGAACAGAAGCAGGAGTGGATTATAGGTCACATCTAAGAACAACAATGAAAAGATCAGAAGGCAGCGGTTACGAGGATAAAGAGCAGCATTCAGGTTTAAAATAAGGTCATGCGACCAAGGATGAAGCTCAGAGTGCTTGCCCAATAAGCATAAAAAGACCTGAGTTTGATCCTCCACACCACACAAAGCCAGGTATAGTGACTCACATCTGTAATCCCAGCACTAGAGAAGTGAGGCAGAGGGATCTGAAGTTCAAGGTCATCCTCATCTATATAGCAAATTTGATGTAGGAGACCCTGTCTCAAAGCGAAGAGGGCTGACATTCACTGAAGGATGTCTTAACCTTTCATGAATGGTCTGGCATAATCCCATTAGGGCTTTTGACTGAAAGTCTTTAGTTGGGCTGGAAAGATAACTCAGAGCTTAGGAGCATCGACTGCTCTTCTAGAGGTCTGAGTTCAAATCCCAACAATCACATGGTGGCTCACACAACCATTTATAGTGAGAGCTGGTGCCCTCTTCTGTCATGCAAGCAGAACACTGTAAACGTCATAAATAAATCTTTAAAAAAAGAAAGAAAGAAAGAAAGAAAGAAAGAAAAAAGTCTTCAGCAAGTCACTGATGTGTTGATTATAGCCTTCTACACTTGAAACAGTAGAAATTATCTTCTCTGGTCCTGTATAAACAATGCTACAGGCCCTGAGTATTCTCTCGTTTAGTTGTTAATAAACAGTAGATCTAAGGCTCTAGGCTACATAGTGTCATTAAAACCTGGGTTCCAGGTCAATGTTGCCCTGCTGGAATTGCATAGATGTTGCCCACTGGGCATTCTACAGACACAGAAATAGATATAAGAATATGGAGTCTGATTCTATTTTATATCACACTTCTCTTCACATATTTTGGTAATAAGTTGGAAGTATGGTAAGTATGAAATGAATACTATACTATTAGTACATCATGCATTTTAACTTGTTTTTGCATGTTTGTGGAGGTTTTTAAACATAGCTGCAAGCTCTTTGACACATCGATCATTGAGAGTTTCTGGTCTATGTTTCCTCCCCATGAGGGTAAGCTTGACAGTGTTTTTACCTTGACAGCCACTTAACCTCAGAGGTTGGGTCACTCAGGGCCATGCAGCATCTACCTTGCTCACTGAATTGCTCGCTCTTGGAGCTCTGAGCTCCCATGCCAGACTTTCTCTAAGTTTGTCTAGATCCTTTGGTCCAGAGCTCTTGTCTCCAAAGCATGCCAGTGCAGGCATCAGCTATATAAATGAACTAACCTCAAGACCAGGGCTTGGCAGACATAGACAAGGGCTGGATTTTATGGCTTTGTGATGAATATAATCTCTGTTACAACTGCTCAACCCTGCTGCTTCAGCACAAAGTCATGCAGGTGATATGTGGACGGCTGTGTTCCAGTAATGTTGATGTCCAAAGCCAGGTTTTGCCTCACCTGGATCACTCTAAGTGCTAGCCTCTGAAAGTTTGAAGACAGAAACCACAGAGAAAAGATAATCCATTTCTGCTGTCAAGATCCATGAACCTAATGAACTGGCCCATGCTTCAAATGTGCTGCAATTATGGTAGCTTGTAAAACAGTACTGTACAAGGCAGGTCTCATTAACAAAGTCAGATTTGGAGCTGGAAAGCTGGCTCTGTGGATAAAATCATTTGTTGTTCTTGCAGAGGACCAACTGGTGGCTCACAACTATCTGTTACTACATCCCAGGAGATCCAATACCCTCTTCTAACCTCCACGGGCACCAGGCATACACGATATGCAGTCAAAACATCCACATACATAAAAAAATAAATAAATAAAGCAAAAGAAGAAAAAAGAAAGACCGCTTTGTGCTGAACACAGTGGCTCACACCTTTAATTCTAGCACATGGAAGACAGAGCAGGTGGATTTCTGTGAGGTTGAGGCCAGTCTGGTTTACACAGTGAGTTCCATTCCAGATAGGAGTAAAAGTGAGAACTTGTGGCATCTCCCATCACTTGTCTTTAAAAGAAAATAAAGTGAGATTTAAGCAAGGAATAGTGGCATGCACACGTAGTTCTAGCTACTCAGAAGGCTAGAGTGTTTGCTTGAGCCAGGAATTCAGATCCAGCCTGGATAACATGGCAAGACCCTGTCTGGCCTAGGGAGGTCTCTGTTGTGATAAACACTGTAACCAAAAGCAACTTGGGAAAGAAAGAATTTATTTCAGCTCACAGTTGTAGTCCATCGTGAGGGGAAGTCAGGGCGGGGATTCAAGGTAGGAACCTAGCTGCAAGAACTGAAGTAGAGACAGTAGAGGAATTCTGTTCCTGGCTTCCTTCTTCTGGCTTGCTTATTTTGCTTTTCTATACCTACCCAGGGGTGGCATTATCCCCAATAAACTGGGCTCTCTTACACCAATCAAGGGTCTGTTTTAATCCTGTCTTTCTGGTTTGGTGTCTTCCTAGGAGGCCAGAGATAACTGGAGCTGATTTTATCACAGTGCTTGTGTCCCTGTCCTTACTTTCAGCAATAAATTCACTAGGGCGGTTTCCTCTAGGCCCTAAAGCGACCTCATCTCAAAAGAAAACAAATCATTCTATTTTCTTTTAAGAAAGCAACGTACAGAATGTAAGGTATCACTGTGGTTGCTAGAAAAAGCACCTTCCTTTTCTTTGTGATACACAACAGAATTCACAATCTGCTGCTGCTGACTGGGACCTTCTACTCTTTCCCGCTGCAAGACTGTCTGTCCCTTTCCATCTCTACTCCCAGCTTCTCTTAGACTCAGACTCCTTGCAGGATTCCGCTTAGTTCTCCCTGGCGAGCCTCTCCAGTGGAGGCTGTAAACTCCTGACACCAGGGTCCGCTCTTGCTCCTCGGATTCAGTTAGCCTGGAAGAGGAGCGGCTGCTACTGTGGCCACAGCCTCTGGAGAGCGCCTGGGCACACTAACCCTCAAAGGTCTGGGAGCTGCATCCCATGCAATCCACTGTACTCTCTCCCTCTGCTGTTTTCAAGTCCTCCTACCTACCTATCCCTACAAAGTTAGACTCCGAGGTGGCCGGGTGGCCAGAGACCCTCTCTCCTCTCGATCATGCTTTTTCCTTAGCGCCCTCCACTTCCTCTCGGCTCTCAGTCCACTAACTCCCTTTCTTTCTCCTCCAACACCTCCTTTCCAGTCTTCCCAGACCCTCAAGCAGGGAGGTGAGGGTAGGGGGGGAGCGGGTTAGTGGACTTGCAGCGTCTGACCCTACTTCCACTCGCGTCTGCTCCGCCCCTCCACGGCCCGCCCCTCCCCGCCCTCCCCGGGTTCCCTCCTCTCCTTTCTTTGCCCTTCCTCCTTCCCGCCCCCTGCCCATACTAACCTGCTGGCCCCGCCCAGGCCTGCGTCCCCGGCCCGCCTCCCGCTTCTAACCTAGGACGCCTGCAAGCCTCTGCTTGGCGCTGCCACTTTGGCGCCTGCTGTCCCGGCAGCCGGGACTGCGGCGCTATGTTGGCGCTCTCGGGCGGCCACGGGCGAGTTCAGGACGTTAGTGGGTCCGTGCATCTGTCCGGAGAGAACTTCCAGATCCGTGGCTCCGCGATGGTTCTGGCCTCACTGCTTCTGGGGCTGCTGCTGCTTCCCGCGCCCTGGAGAGGTGAGTGCAAGGTCCCAAAGGTCTGCTGCTAACTCCGGCTAGTCGGAGGTTCTGGGGATCCTCAGCCGTATCATGGGGTGCATGTCCTAGTGTAACCGGCACCGGTGGGTACCAAGGACTCCCCATCACCACAGAGGAGGATATCGAGCCCAGCGGGGCTCTTTAGGAGCATCTAAGTTAGAGTCTGTGTGGAATGCAGCACTCGGGTCTAGTACAGCAAACGCTAACAACTTTCCCCTCGTCACTGTCTAATGGCCTGGCCTCTTAGGCGGGATTTCTGCGAGCCACGGACCGGGGCTCCTAAGGCAATCCCACACCGCCGCGAACCAGTGAGTGACTGCGGGTGTCGCAGTTCGCATGTGGTGCTGGACCGAAGCTGGGTCCCGCTAGGGAAAGACTGGTTTTGGCATCTCCCCTGGGCTATGGTGTGCACTGTGTTGTGCTGGCGCTCCTTTGCTGTGACTGTAGAGGCCTGGATAAAGCAGAGGGGGACGACATAGTCCTTTCCTTATTATTACTGTAGAGCAGAATCTGTTGGGTTTGGGTAGCTTCTACGTTTGTCTTGGACCAGCTTAAGTGTTCTCACACGCGTTTCAGTGACATGATGGTTTGATAACCACAAACAAGTATGGCAGGTTTCTCCAACAGATGATACTGAGACACTTTGTGAAGAGGCTGGAAAAAAACTGAACCAGGCTTTACCAAAAGAAACAGGAGTGGGAGGGTTGGCTGTCTACTAAACCAGCACGTTTGAGGTATTGCCCCTGCCGGAGAAGGGTCTGTTTGCATTCAGAATGTGTGTGTGTGTGTGGGGGGGGGGATTTTGTCGTTGTTTTGGGTATTTTTGTTGTTGTTTTTTCTCTTCTGATCTTCAGTCTGGTTGACTGAAGTTTGTCTTTAAGAATACCCCCATAGTTTTGTTTACAGTCTAGCTACAAACTGTCTTTTCTTTCAAAGTTCATTTGCTCAAAAGAGTATTTCTTGAATAATTCTTCTGGCATACTAAATTACATAAGCAATTTGTAGTTTGAGGCAACATGACAGTTTGAAACAAACAGCAAGAGCCAAAAACAGGCAAAGAACTGAGACGGCTCTGTTCTCCATCACCAAATCCTCAAAAAATTCCTCAGCATTTCTGCCAGGTCTGTTCTTCATAATCTGCTGCAAGCAGGGTGTATTTTGCTACTAGTGTTGGCCAGCCAGGCATAGTTTTGGAGGCTGTGAATGTGGTATACACGGGGAGAGTAATAGGAACATAATATTTTAAAATCTATGCTTTATTTTCAAAATTTTAAAAAAGTGGGAAGTTTGTAACTGATAGGTTTAGTTAGATAACCACAGAAAGTCTTAAAATGTACTCCGAGAAGAATGAAAGTTTCTCAGTTTTTCTTCTAACAGAATTGGAGCTGCAGGGAAAGCAGCATTTCTTTCCTCTCTACTTAGTCTCAGATGGAGTGTGCATGGAGCTGGGTAAGGGGCATCTCTAGGGAGAATTAGGAGGGAAGAGGATGGAGGAGGGGAAGTAAGCAGTGTTTAACGAATGAATGGATTTTGTAAAGTTCTTTAAGGTGGTGAATAAGACATAATTATTTTTAAATTAACAAAATTATGCTTTAAGTTATTTTAATTTTTATTTTAACTGTATGGATGTTCTGCTTGCGTGTGTGTCTGTGCATCATGTGCACACCCCATTCCTCAGGAGACCAGAAGAGGGCATGGATCCCCTAGAATAGGAGTTATCTGTGGTCGTGAGCTACTATGTGGGTGCTGGGAATTGAACATGGGTCTTCTGGAAGAGCAGCCAGTTCTCTTAGCCACTGAGCTGTCTCTCCAGCTCAAACTTATGTTTTTTAAGTCGTGCCTTTTGAAACAATCTGTAGAAATTCTAGAAGGAGAGCTAGTGAGTCACAATAGATTGCCAGGTAGGAAAGATGAGTTGGGACATTGAACACTCATGTACCCCAGCCACTTCCCACACAACAGCCAGAATTAGATGTTTCATAACATCCAATTGTGCTGTCCCCAAATGAAACATCCTCCAATGGTTTCCTCTGTCCAGATTTCCAGATCCGGTAAAGCCTCACAGAGCCTCTGCTTCCCTGTTACTGATCTGGTCACCTCTATATCACCTTTCTAGCACTGAACACTTTTTTTTTTTTTTTAAAAAAAAGATTTATTTTTATTTCTTTTCTATGAGTGTTCTGTCTGTATGTGTGTTATGCACCTGTGCATGCCTAGTGCCCAAGGAGGACAGAAGATAGTGTCTGATGCCCTGTCATTGGAGTTTCAGGAAGTTGGAAGCCACCAAAGTTACTGCTGACACTGGAGCTATGGTCCTCCGCAAGAGCAGTGCATACCCTGACCACTGACCATCTCTCCAAGCCCAAAAGCTTATTCAGGAAAAATTAAATCCACAATTTTAACAGCTCCTAGACCAGGAGTGCCTTGCTCCGTGTACCTTGACTTTGAATGAAGATCTCTAGTTTCATCACAACTCAAAACACATGACTCTGGGTTGGACAGCATCTACATGGAGGAAATACAGGGCTGAATACTATGGACCTTGGTGGGGATGCGGTGGGGAAGTCTCAGAACTTCCAGACTATTTTTGATACAGTGGGACACTGTTTCACAGAATTGTTGTGTTTAGTTAGTTTTTGTCAACTTGACACAAACCTAAACATATCTGGAGCTGCCTCCAGAAGATTGGCATGTGGGCATCTATTGGGGTATTTTCTTAATTGCTGATTGATGAAGAAGGGCTGGGTTTACTGTTGGTGAAATCGTCCCTATCTAGACGGGTCTGGGCTATATAGGAAGCCAAGAAAGCCATGGGGAACAAGCCAGTAAACAGCTTTCCTCGGTGGTTTCTATTTCGGTTCCTGCCTTCAGGTTCCTGTCTTGGCCTCCCTTGATGATCTGATTGACTTACCTGCAAGCCAAATAAACCCTTTCCTTCCCAAGTTGAATTTGGTCAGCATTTTGTCACAGCAACAGAAAAGTAAGCTAGGACATGCTGGAAAAGGTGAAATGAGCTAACAGCACTCCATAAATCCTGAACCAATAGCAGTCTAATTACCCATGGTTCTCCTCTGTACTTCTGCATTCAAATCTGGGGTGGATAATTGTTTTTCCTAAACAAAAAGTATTGAGTGGAAAGTTCTTTCTTTTCTCCAACCTCACCCCCCCACACACCCCACGACCTTATTGGAATTCTTCCTAAATAACACCTTGAAATGTGAGTATACAAGGTTCAGTTGTAGCTCATTTTTAGGAAATGTGCTAGCATGCACAGTGCCCTGGGTGTAATTCCCAGCATTGCATAAACCAAGTATGGGGAGTGGTTCACCAGGCCTCACTCCTGCCTGAAGATGGTGATGGCTGCTTGGGGAGAGAGAGTCAATTTCCTTTAAGAGTGTGGCTCTTGGTCAACCATGCTCTAGGGGCTGGTCCTATACCCATGTGATACCTGCAGCATTAATTAGGCTCAGCAAATTGTAAAAATATAAACAAAAAGAGCATAAGAAGTTGGGAGAGGGATCCAAGAGGAGTTAAGGAGGGGAGTAGAGTCTTAGATATCAAAATCATTATATACATGAAGCACAATAAATAAAAAGCCTAGAGACAGATATTGGGATCAAGCTTCAAGCTGGAGATCAGAGAAACAAAGTAGCCAAGCCAGTAGATCTTAGCTCTAGCTGGCTGAAAAGGCAACCCACAAATCCCTAGAGGCAAAAGCTCTCGGTTCCTGTCTCCTCCTTTTATTTCAGCCACATCACTCCCATCTCCACCCTCTAGTGCTGGGATTAAGGTGTGTGCTCCCAAGTACTGAGATCACCTTTGGGTCAGCTGTTTCTTTTAAGACTGTATCAATTTTGTGTAGTCGCTTCAGCCTTGAACTGACAGAGATCCTGCTACCTCTTAATTCTGAGTCCTGGGATTATAGGTGTGTACTGCCACCGCCTTAACTTCTGTAGCTAACTAGTATGACTGCTTTGCTATTTTGATCTCCAGTGGCTTTAATAAATTATAAACAATATATCATCATATATACATGCATGAAATTCTCAAATAATAAGTTAAAAATTACCCACACACACAGACACACAAAAAGTGTGCTGGCATATACTCTACAATCTCAGAAGTCTATGGTGTAGGCAGAAGAGTTAGAAGTTCAAGGTCACCACTGGCTACATTAAGATGTCTTAAAAAAAAAAAAAAAAAAAAAAAAAAAAAGAGGCAGTGAAGGCAGATCTGGGGCCACTCTCCTCTTGCAGTGTTTTGGTAATGAGGCTCTGGGTGGTCACTCTGAGTGCCTAAGTCCTTTGCTACAGCTCTTTAGGATTTTGCTTCTTCCCAGTAGTTCTGCGGGCAAAACCAAATCCAGGAGCAGGCTTTCTCAGGATAGGTTGGCATTACCTACCCCTGCTTCCTACCTTCCTTGTGGAGTACAGACTTGTTTTGGCACAGGAATAGCTTCCTGTCATGTGCCTCACAGGAAGGCATAAAAATGAGGTCCAATTCTGGCTCCACTTTTTCTACAAAGCTCAATGCCAAAGTGGGTGTGGGTTTGTTTTGGTTTTTTGTTTTGTTTTGTTTTGGTTCCGGCTTTTTAAGTGACCCCATCCAGGTCTTTCCTTTCCTTTCCTTTGGCGGCTTCCACAAGAAAATGAGCATTGTTAATTCTGTATAGCTTGGACTGTGGGAAGTGGAGGAAGGTCGTTCCTGTGATCTTGTTTCCCGTTCCGTGGCTATCAGAGACCTCTGCTAGGCAGGAGGAAGACCCAACCTCTTCCGGTGTCTCTCTAGGTATCCATCAGCCCCTGTCCATAGGTAAGTCGTTACCCTGTGGTTACACTGTCATTCTGCATGCTCGAATGCCTGCATCTGAAATGCTGTCACCGCCACTGCAGCCTGGCAGGGCAGCATTATGTTCCTATCTGTGGGTTCCTTTTAGGGGACAAGAATACTGAGAAACTTGTCAACCAAGGGTGTTCTCA